TTTATTTTCTGAGTTGCATTGGGCTTAATCTTACTGGTTTTAGCTTTGTAAAATCTCAAATGGCAGCATCCTGCATGAAGCTGACCAAAAATACATATGTAGAAATTTGGCAGCATTTGCTGAGCAAGTAATTTATAGCCCACATGATCATTATAGCACCAATGAGCAGCACACAAAATTAATTACCAGGAATGGGACTAGCCTCATCTGTAGGATTTAGCAGAATTTTTAATATAAGGCACCTATATTTAGTTTCTAGGCTGCATATGTTGTAATTATCCTTAATCTAAAATAAAGGCAATAAGAAACTTTTCACTAGAGAAATAGTGGTAAATTTCCAGCCATTTTACCTCATTTTTTATAATCTGAGCTCCATGATTATTTTCCTCTTGGAAATTCATTGTCCAGATGCCCATGAAGCTCCCCTTAAAGGTGGTTAAGCAATGTAATAGTATGCGGTGTTTATATGAAGCATAGTACTTTATAGTTAGTGAAGTGATTTCATACTCATTCTCTTATTTGGTATTTACCTAATGTAAGTAGGACAGACGATTATCATCCCCCATTTTGAGGGTGACAAAATGGAAGACAGAGCCTAATGACAGAGGCTTTTGCTGTTTATACTGCACTTTCTTACTATATATGAAAAAGAGTCTATAGCTGTGTCCATCTTAGGGGACTAATTTTTCCTCCTACCTTCCCTTTTCCTATACTTGCTTCTCCCTTGAAAGGCACAGAACTTTCCCAGAGTTCTCATCGACTCTCATATTACAGACTACTTATCAGGCTAATCATAAAGGGAGCAAACATACAGTCAAATTGAATTACCTTTAAAGTGTTTGTCAAAATAGGTGAACACAGTCACTTTTTGGAACAAAGCATAGTACAAGTAGATAGATACAATTGAGCACTACTAGTGTTTTTGGGAAATCGTCTTTAATGAATCCTAAATTCACTAAGGTCAGATAAGTAGTTGAAGAATTTTTTTCCAAATAGATATGTGGTTAGAATTGTATTAGGTGTTCTGTGGTGTTCCTTAGCTATGCAAGTACACACTTTGTGGTACGTATTGAGGCAGCTCCCAAATTTGGGTTCTCATCTTGAGCCACAGAGATCAGTATTTTTAGATGAATCATTGTGTTCTTTTTTTTCTTTTTGAGACGGAGTCTCTCGCTCTGTCACCTGGCTGGAGTGCGGTGGCGCGATCTTGGCTCACTGCAACCTCGGCCTCCCGGGTTCAAGCTATTCTCCTGTCGCAGCCTCCTGAGTAGCTGGGACTACAGGTGCCCACCACCATGCCCAGCTAATTTTTGTATTTACTAGAAATGGAGTTTCACCATATTGGACAGATAGTCTTGATCTTATGACCTCGTGATCTGCCTGCCTTGGCCTCCCAAAGTGCTGGGATTACAGGGGTGAACCACCGCGCCTGGCCTGTGGTGTTCTTAAATAATCAGTTGCTTTAAATTTCCTAGCTATGATTTATAATCCTTGCTTACCCCTAGTGAGGTGGAACAAAGGAATTCTGATTTCTTGGAGGAATGGCTGAATAAGATAACTTTATCACCATGTTCACAATGTAGCAATAGCTATAATTTTGAAACACTGCATAGAATTTAGCCAGGTGATTCCTCATATAAGTGAGTAGCTATGAAAACATCTCCAATAAAGGGGGCTGGGCTAAGGCTCTTCTTCTGAATTATAGTGAAAGAATAGAGTGACTTCCCATCACCAGGCCCTCAGAAAGTGAACTTGATCCTTTCTGTCTCCACTCTTGTTTGGTAACTAGATGGCCTAGTCCCACTCCTCTGATGCAACTGCAGTTTAACAAGCTTGAAAACCTTAAGCTTTCTTGTTTAAGCTTTCTACTTTGAAATGTGTAAGAATCTGGTATCTTGATTTTTTTTGGAGTACTTTTTTCAGGAGAGTGATCAGGAAAACTAAAGGTAAAAAGGCCTGGTGGATTTGTGTTCCAGGCTGAGAAAAGCTGTAGGTTCTTAAGTTTTGAGTTTTCTATTGTTATCAATTCTAAAGTAGAAGGAGGTGATTTAATGAAAGAGCACAGAATTGAGAATCAGAAGACATGGATTTTAATTTCAGCTGTGGCATATACTTATCCTGGTGACTTCTGCCGAGTTCCTCAGTCTACCTGAATAAAGTATCTTTATTTGTCAGATGGGAATATTTGAACCTGTGTTGCTTATCTTACATGTTTATGGTGAAAAACACATAAAATAATGTGAAACTACTTTAAAAAGTATAAAGTATGTACAAATGTAAGAGATTAGCATAACTATCTCAGTCACTTTGCACTCTTTGAAGTGATCTTTATGTTCTCAGTTCCTGACAGCTGTATACATGAAGGTAAGAGATTTAGGATTTGGTTGGCTTGGAAGATTTGTCTCGTTTCATGTCCTTTTCCTTCCTTTCTTCTCCTCTTTTAAACATTTAAATCAATGATAAAAGACACTAAGCAGAGGGAATAATTCACAGTGTGTCTGAATGAGCAGAATCCAGACAGCCAAATCAATACAGCCAAGCTCATATTGACATTCTTATAACGCCCTCTAGATTTTTAATTGACAATTTTCTGCCTTCTCCTGTCCCCCCACCCCCCTGGTTTTCAGATGTATTAACTCACCAGCACAATCTTCTGTTTTTCAGTGGAGCTTATGATTAGATAATTGTCTACATTTGTGCTACATTTTCCAAAGTAGAACAAGTTTTTCTCCATCCCTGCTCTTGTGGCTCTTCCATTGGATTACTGCACAAAGGTTACTGCACAACTGAGCAGTAACTTAAGGTACTTAAGGAATTTTCCCATTTGCCAGTTTAAAAGAAAAGCACCTAGAATGAGGCCAAGGATACTTGGGGTCTTAAAATAGTTCTTGTCCATGCATGGTGGCTCACGTCTGTAATTCCAGCAGTTTGGCAGGCCAACGTGAGAGGATCACTTGAGGCCAGGAGTTTGAGACCAGCCTGGGCAAGATAGCAAGACCCTGTCTTTACAGAAAATTTTAAAAATTAGCCAGGTATGGTGGCAAGTACCTGTAGTGCCTGCTACTCAGGAGGCTGAGCAGGGGAGGATCGCTTGAACCCAGGAGGTTGAGGCTTCAGTGAACCATGATCATGCCACTGCACTCCAGCCTGGGCAACAGAGCAAGACACTGTTAAAAAAAATTTTTTTTAAAGTTCTTGAGGAACCTGTGTTTTTCATTCAGTAGATGTGGATTGAATCCCCACTATGTGCAAGGCACGTTTGCATTGAGGATGTGTCAGAAACAAAATGATTATGTAAGACAAACTGGGGAAAAAATAGGAACATGAAAAGTTTAAGCTTAAAAAATAATATGCCCCTTAAAAAAGAATATGTTACACAAGTCTGAAGCAAGTGAATATGCTAATTAGAGAAATAGATTTGATTGTGTGCCAGGAATGGTTTCTTGGGGAGAAAAAAAAATAGTCATCACTGATGAGTGAATGTGTAGACAGTATTGAATTTCTTTACAGTTGTACTGTAAAGGCAAGCTTCTTATCAGTGCTGTTGCAGAAGAGCCTTAAACATTGGTTTCAATCCATGAAATAGTCTGAGAAATTAACGGTTTTCCAGAACATGTTTCCTTCATGTTCACTTCAGGATATTGGATATAGAGGGAAGTGGGTGGAGCTCTCTTTAGAGCTCCAAACAGAATCTTTTGCTTGGACGATGGGGCCAGGTTGAGTGGGGAGCTGCCTGGACTCCAGGTTCCCTCTACCCTCTAACATAAGCAAGATTCCTTTCACAAGACAAAACAGGCACATACTCCTAGCTTGTGGAATTCTGAGGTATCCAAGGAGATGGTGGTGGTTGTTGGGGTTTTTTGGTTTTTTTTGAGATAGGGTCTCACTCTGTTGCCCAGGCTGAAGTGCAGTGGTGCGATCATGGCTCATTGCAGTCTCCCAGCTCCTCGGGTCAAGTGATCCTCTTGCCCCAGCCTCCTGAGTAGCAGGAGCTACAGATGTGTGCCACCACACAGACTAATTTTTGTTTTTGTTTTTGTTTTTGTTTTTTCTTTTTTGTAGAGTCAAGGTCTTTCTATGTTTCCTGGGCTGATCTTGAACTCCTGGGCTCAAGCGATCCTCCTGCTTCGACCTCCAAAGTGCTGAGATTACAGGCATGAGCCACCATTCCCAGCCCAAGGAGACATATTCTAAGAATTTAAGGCTGGGCGCGGTGGCTCATGCCTGTACTCCCAGCACTTTGAGAGGCCGAGGCGGACGGATCACGAGGTCAGGAGACCGAGACCATCCTGGCTAACACAGTAAAACCCTGTCTCTACTAAAAATACAAAAAAATTAGCCAGGCGTGGTGGTGGGCGCCTGTGGTCCCATCTCCTCTGGAGGCTGAGGCAGGAGAATGGTGTGGACCCAGGAGGTGGAGCTTGCAGTGAGCCAAGATCGCGCTACTGCATTCCAGCCTGGGAAATGGAGGGAGACTCCATCTCAAAATAAGTAAATAATAAAAAATAAATAAGTAAAAATTAAAAAAATTTTTAATACGTTTTTGGATTAGTGTGGAGAGAAAACCTAGTATAGCTGTTGATCATTGACACTCCCAGGGATTTAAATTTGGCTCATTCCCATTTTCAGCTTGAGTTCTTTGCTGTTTTGGAACTAGTACATTTGTTCCAAATTTAATAGTTTAAAGGGCTTTAAAAATTATTTCGTGTTTATAAAAGAGATAGGAGAGCATCTTTCTCTATTTTAATATGTATTTCCATGCATCTGAAACTAGACTTTTTAAAGAAATAGGTTAAAACAAAGTAAGTAGTCTAAATTATAGAGAAAAAGAAGCTAGTTGGTCTTTAGTCTTGGTACCATATCTGGGACTCTTCAGACCAGTAGTTGGTGTCTTGTCCAGCTTCGAGCAGTCATGATGATATGATGCCATCTGGCATTTGTATGAATCTTGCTATTTTTTGAGGCCTTCTAACATGTGTTTTACCATTTGTGTGTTTCAGCTGCCCTGTGGGATATTGCTGTAGATGATAGAGAAGTTTCTAAGAAGTTAAGAAATTTGCTCAAGATCACAGTTCACCAGAGAGCTAAGAACCCCCAGGTCCAATACGTTTTATTTATTTATGTGTTTACCCTGTGCTTTAGTGCCCCCAACTGTTCACAGCTGAGTATTCAAAGGTGCTGCTAACCCGCCTAGAGACATGCAAAGGGGAAGGATAAAACAGAAAAGAAAAAAGAGTGACAGAGCTTAAATAGTGCAAAAAGTGGGAATGAGCAAGTTATAATAAATTAAGACAGAATTTTAGAGCTTTTGCATTTTGACTCTATCATTTATTGTATTGTGGTCTTGAGCAAGTAACTTGATACCTAACCATCAACCTTATCTATAAAATTGGAATAATGTTGATAAATGTACCACTGAGCTAAATAAGGCTCAATTGAGGATGATGTATGTGGCATGTATTTTATGAACTCTAAAGCCCGTAAGTTGGCATCTTTGAAACATTCTTCAGAATTACACTGCTTATCTCTGCTGGACACACAAACACAAGATACTGCCAGAAACTGGGCAAGAGGCTATTTGTGAATCTCAGAAAGGACCTAGTAAGAAAATGATGCTTTGTTTTAGAATACAACTTAACTTAGGCTACAGGCACTCTTTCTGTCTCTAGCTCATGTCACAATTCCTTTTTGGGATTGAGGCCTGAAAAACCAGTTACTCATCATTCTTCCTACAAGGATTTATTTACTCGTTAGGCTGGAGGGTCAGAGAGACTAACAGATTCTTCTATGCAGCAGAGCGGGTCTGGCCCAGCTTAGTTCTAATTGAGGATGAACAGGTGAGGGAGGCAGGGGAGCTAAATAACAGTTGTGTGATCTAGGACCAGCTTCTCAACCTCTGGTGTCAGTTTCCCCATCAGTAAATCAGGGATAAACAAAACACTTAACAATGCTTTAAAACAAGATCAGAATATTATCTGAAACTTTTTCTTTTTCTTTTTTTTTTTTTTGTTTTTTTGAGACAGGGTCTTGCTCTGCTGCTCAGGCTGGAGTGCGGCGGTGGCGCAATCATAGCTCTCTGCAGGCTTGACCTCCCAGGCTCAAGCAATCCTCCTACCTCAGCCTCCTGAGTAGCTGGGACTATAGGCGTGAGCCACCATACCTGGCTAATTTTTTATTTTTTATTTTCTGTTGAGATGGGGGTCTCACTATGTTGCCCAGGCTGATCTCAAACTCCTGGGTTCAAGTGATCCTCCCGCCTTGGCCTCCCAGAGTGCTGGGATTAGAGGCATGAGCTACCACATGTGGCTGAACCTTTTTCCTTAAAGGTCCAGATATTTTAAGCTCTGCAGCTGTATGATTTTTGTTGTAACTCTTCAACTCTACTGTTTAGCATGAGAGCAGCCATAGACAATATAAACTAATTAGGGGCTGGGCATGGTGGCTCACGCCTGTAATCCCAGCATTTTGGGAGGCCGAGGTGGGCAGATCACTTAAGGTCAGGAATTCAAGACCAGCCTGGTCAACATGGTGAAACCTGTCTCTTCAGAAATACAAAAATTAACTGGGTGTGATGGCAGGTGCCTGTAATTCCAGCTACTTAGGAGGCTGAGGTGGGAGAATCGCTTGAACCCAGGAGGTGGAGGTTGCAGCGAGCCAAGATCGTGCTGTTATACTCCAGCCTGGATGACAGACCGAGGCTCCATCTAAAAATAAATAAATACATAAATAATTAGGGTTGATGCCTTCCGGTGAAACTGTTTCTAAAAACAGGCTGTAGGCCAGATGTGGCCTGTGAGCTATAGTTTTTAGACCCTTCCTTGCTTTAGAATACTTCACTAAATACTTGATCTTTTTTCTCCATCATACAAAATACTGCTTGTGTTTTATTGGTGTCATATATGCAGAGATGGTTTAAGTTTGAGCATTCAAAGGATGAGGAAGAATGTGTGTGAAGTAAGATGTTATGTATCATTTTCTGTTCCACAGAAATAAGTTTTCAAATGTTCTGTTCATGCCTTCCCATCACTTTCATTGTTTATACCAGTTGCTGTGCCTTCATTTTTTTTCTAGTTATAGTACAACTATATTATGATCTGGCTCCTGTTTCAAAGATTATATTATACTAGATACCAAATAGAAAAATAGTTTTGTTTTTGAAGGAAAAGTGGCTCTTCTGCCAGTTCAAAAATGTGTCCTTGTGAACAGATCTTTAGGGAGAGCAGTGTGCAGCCACTTCCAAGCCTAAGTCTTTTAGGAAGCATGGTTTTCCAGTAGGCACTTTGAAAAGCGGCTTCTTCTTAAGATAGATGTACCCTCAAACGTCAAACTTGGCATTAATCAGAGTTGGGGAAGTACAGCTATGTTATTCATTCTTGTATTATAGTAGTGAAGACTATTCAATAGCCTGCCAGTAAATATGACCAGCTGGTACCCAGCTATGTGTGTAAGTAATAAGGTTTCAGGCACTAAGCGTAGTCCTTTCTTGCATGACTATATAAAAACTTTAGATGAGTTTAAACAGAGACTATTGAACCTTCTGTTCTCTCTAGTCACTTTGCCTTCCCTTGTATTCATTCATTTATTGCATCTTCAAGTAGTGAAGTGTAGGACTTCCCTACCAAACCACCAGACCCCTTTGGAATGTGTTCAGTATGCATCATTGCTGGAGTGGCTTAGTAGAGTGACTGACCCAGGGCCACCAGCTAGTAGGCAGCAAGCGGCCAGTACACAAACATAGGTCTTTTAATTTTCAGACCAGTTCTTCTTGTGAAATTTTCAATTTTAGATTGGTTTTTATTTTGGAGAGTATAAGCTTTCTTAAGGCTAGAAATGCTTTTTAGCTATTGTGATTGATAATGGCATAAGTCCTAAGGTCCATCTGTGTAAACATAAAAACCAAATTGTCTGTTAGTAAATAAATCCTACCCCCCTGTCCCTCATCCATCCATTTATTTTTATTAATATTCTTCCTTTCTCTGTATCTCTCATCATCATTTAAAATACAACATCTTACAAACCTTAGCTCATTTAAATGAAGAAACCTAGAACTAACCTCAACAAATACCTGAGCAGTACTGGAACATAAAATGCTTGTGATAGTGCTGCCACTAGAGCAAAATACAATAAAACTAACATCATAATAAAGAGAGTCACACAAATTTGTTGGTTTCCCAGTGCAAATAGAAGTTATGTTTGTGCTATAGTGTAGTCTATTAAATGTGCAACAGCATTATGTCTAAAAAATGTACATATCTTAATTTTAAAATATCTTATTGGTAAAAATGCTAATTACCATCTGAACTTTCAGCAAGTCATAAGCTTTTGCTGCTTGAGGGTCTTGACTTGATGATGATGGCTGCTGACTGATTAGGGTGGTAGTTGCCGAAGGTTGGGGTGGCTTTGGCAATTTCTTTGTGTGTGTTTTTCTGTTTTGTTTTTGAGATGAGTTTCACTCCTGTTGCCCAGGCTGGAGTGCAGTGGCGCGATCTCAGCTCACCGCAACCTCTGCCTCCTGGGCTCCAGCAATTCTCCTGCCTCAGCTTCCCAAGTAGCTGGGATTGCAGCCCCCTGCAACCCCCCCTCCCCGGTCCCCCACACCCAGCTAATTTTTGTATTTTTAGTAGAGACGGGTTTCACCATGTTGGCCAGGCTGGTCTTGAACTCCTGACCTCAAGTAATCCACCCACCTCGGTCTCCCAAAGTGCTGGGATTACAGTCTCCCAAAGTGCTGGGATTACAGGCGTGAGCCACCGCATCTGGCCTGTTTTTTTTTTTTTTTCTTTTGGGAGAGAGTCTCACTCTGTCACCCAGGCTGGAGTACAGTGTCATGATCTCGGCTGATTGCAACCTCTGCCTCCCAGGTTCAAGCCATCCTCCTACCTCACCCTCCCAAGTAGCTGGGACTGCAGACACATGCCACCACACCCAGCTAATTTTTGTCTATATTTTTTTGTATAGACAGGGTCTGCTGTGTTGCCCAGACTGATCTTGAGGTCTCAAACTCCTGGGCTCAAGTGATCCTCTCGCCCTGGACTCCCCAAGTGCTGAGATTACTGGCGTGAGCCACTGGGCCTGGCTGGCAATTTCTTAAAATAAGGCAGCAGTGGAATTTGTTGCTTCAGTTGACTCTTCCTTTCCTGAAAGATTTCTCTGTAGCATGCTTTTCTGTTTGATAGCGTTTTACCCAGAGTAGAGCTTCTTTCGGAATTGGAGTTTGTCCTCTCAAGTCCTGCCACTATTTTATGAACTAAGTTTATATAATATTCTAATGTTCATAGCATTTTCACTGGAGGTAGGTTCCATTTCAAGAAATCACATTCTTTGCCTTCTATAAGAAGCAACTCTTCATCTGTTAAAGTTTTACATGAAATTGCAGCAATCCAGTCACATCTCAGGCTCCACTTCTAATTACAGTTCTCTTGCTGTTTCTACCACATCTACAGTTACTTCTTTCACTGAAGCCTCGAACCCCTCAAAATCATTCAGGAGGATTGGAATCAACTTTAGACTCCTGTTAATGTTTATATTTTGACCTCCTCCCACGAATTTTGAATTTTTTTTTTTTTTTTTTGAGACAGAGTCTTACTCTGTTGCCCAGGCTGGAGTACAGTAGCACGATCTTGGTTCATTGCAGCCCTGACCTCCCAGGCTCAAGTGATCCTCCTACCTCAGCCTCCCGAGTAGCTGGGACTATAAACATGTGCCACCACATCCAGCTAATTTTTGTATTTTTTGTAGAGACAGGGTTTTGCCATGTTGCCCAGGCTGGTTTTGAACTCCTGAGCTAAAGCAGTACTCCCACCTTGGCCTCCCAAAGTTCTGGGATTACAGGTGTGAGGCACTGTGCCTGGCCATGAATATTCTTTTTTTTTTTTTGAGACGAAGTCTTGCTCTGTCACCCAGGCTGGAGTGCAGTGGCATGATCTCGGCTCACTGCAACCTCCACCTCCTGGGTTCAAGCGATTCTCCTGCCTCAGCCTTCCTAGTAGCTGGGATTATAGGCCACACCACCATGCCCAGCTAAGTTTTGTATTTTTTTAGTAGACAGGGTTTCACCATGTTGACCCAGCTGGTCTCGAACTCATGACCTTGTGATCT